CTCTATGTTTTCCTTTTTCTATTAGCCTAGGCAAAGGCAAGCATGTCGCCATCTGAAATGAGAAAACAACAGGTCAATAATACAAATAGACATTTTAACAGATTAAACATGCATTGCTTTAACTGTTGTCCCTCTCTTCCTGTCCTTTCTTTCATGTTGTCCATTTAATTTTACTCATCTCCTCTCTCTTTTTACTTTTGTTTTATTCTCTTCCTGTTTTTTTCTCAGCCTGAATTTCTCTCCCTTTTGTCCTTGTCTTTTTTCTTATTCTTTTGTTTCTTTAACTCATATTCCTCTTTGTTTCCTACTTTCTTTCTGCCCTTTTTCTTGTTGTTTTCCTCTCAATGCTTTTTGTCCCTTTTTCTAGTAGTTGTATTCTCTATCTCCCTAAAGTCTTATTTTTCATGTCTTGGCCTTCGCAAATGAGGAGATTCATAACCACTGTTTTCGTGGCTTCTTGTTCAATGAAGAGAACTGCAAATGCAAATGCAGGCTTTCCAGTGACATTGTTGACCTCAAACGTGTTTTAATTAGCTTCAGTTTCAAGAAACTTCTTTCACCTGAATCATCACTAACTCAGAGGAAATGTGTATATATATATATATATATATATATATATACACATACATACATACATACATACATACACACACACAACACATAAAAATCTGAAAATTGCTTAAACTACCGAGCAGTAAATTAATGTCCGTCGCTTGCCATTGTTACCGCTTTGGAGCACAGAGACGCAGAGCAAGCAACAGTGTCCATTAGGGATAATCCAAAGCCGAAATCCAGCCCAGAGCAATTTCAGAAACCAAGGTGATCCGAGAGCCGAAGAGGTATCCAGTAGTGATGGGCTATCTGAAGCCAGGCTTCGAGGCTTGTACCGAGTAATAAGGGGGTGTGTCAATGAAGCCCCGCTTCGAGGCCTGTGTTGTCTTGTTGAAAACCACGTGACTGGCAACAAACGAGGCCTCGCATTGCATTGGTCACGTGACTGCTTCATTTTGCGTGTCGGTTTTCAAAATAAAAGCGCGATGAATCCTGTTGCTTCGTGGGTTGTAGTAGGTGGTTTGGTATCAGCAGAACAGTTTTCATCAGCAGTGGTTGAAATGGAGCCATCAAAAAAGAGAAAAACCTCTCATATGTGGGAGTATTATGAGATGACAGATCACAATCACAACCTGAAACAGTGAAAAAAGTCCTATTCCTAAATAAAAACAATTAAACCTAAAATCCAGAAATTTCTATATTTTCTTTTGTTTAATCAGGAGATGCATCAGAATCACACATCAAAACCAGACTAAAAGCCATTAGAAGAGGCAAACTCTATGTGTAACTTAATATTAAGAATCAGAACTACAACTCCTAGGAAGAGATGATTTTAAACAAATTCTGTCTTTAAGGAAGCAAGTTTCAAGCTCAAAGTATACAAAGTCTGCAGCAACAGTTACTCAGTTCTCAATACATTAAAGTAACACATATCTTCATTGTCTAATAAGTCCATGACATAAAAGAAAACCTAACACCACCACTGATGGTCAAGGATTAGATTGGCTACAAATAATTTTAATCATTAAAACATGACAATTAAATAGGATTCTCCTCTTACTAAACATGAGTTTGATGAAAACTTTGTGACAATATTGCATTTCCTAATATTTGGAAGTATGATCCAACTGAGTAACAAGGCTGTTACAGTTTCACCAGCAGATGTCACTAGTGAGTGATGAATGAAGCATCGAGTAATGAACTTTTTTCAACACTTTGCGTTGGAAAGCTTCATTGCTTCATGAGGCTTCACTTGCCCATCACTAGTATCCAGGAAGAAGCCAAGCCAAGGTCAGTAAAACAGTCCAAGTTCAATAACCAACAAAATTTATCCAGTAAGACCAGAAATCAAACAGGGAAAAAGGCAAAAACCGAAAATACATGGGCAAAAGGCTGATCAGAATTTAACAAAACAAAAACGTATTTAGATCGTTAGAGATACTCACACTTAGCTAGCTTGAATAATCCGGATGATTGCAGGAGAGCAAACAGCATAAATAGCTGCTGGGACCAGGTGAATCAGATCGGCAGCAATCAGCTGCAGGGCTAATTAGGCAGGTGAGCAGGAGCAGGGGTAAAAGTCAACAATCAGCACCGGGATTATGACACTTTTTGCAGTTATGTTTTAGTTTTCTGTCCCCTGTTTCATACATTTGTTGAAGCAGACTTCTAGGAGTTGCTGTATATATTCTGTGTTGTGATACTGGATGGCAACAGTCATCCTGTTCTTCTAGTAAAAACAAAACTGTTGGGCTACCATAGAGCTTAGGAATTTTGAATCCCAGAGCTATATTGGAAAATAAGTAATAAATAATTAAATGAAAGTAGATACAGTTAGTTACAGTAAAAGCTGAGCTAGGGCTGGACGATATGGTCAAAACTTTTATCACAATGTATGTCCTAATTTGCGAAGATTTAATATAATTCTGATGACGATATAAAAAAAAAATATTAAAGCTTTATAAAAAAAAAAAAAAAAAAAAAAAACTCCAGGGAGGCCAATGACAGAACTCACAAAGTTGTGAAAATTATTATCCCAACTTCTTCAACATTGTTTTTAATTCATTGTTGAAAAAATAAGCATCTACAATAATTTTTTAGAGCTACAAGCTCAGTAGATTAAACAAAGACATTTAATTAGGTGATGCCCCCCATACTCTCCAGTCCATGGCTTCTTGCATCTTCCAGTTTTTCTTCATCAGCGCCTTTATTTTTTGTTATATCATTTATAAATGGAAAGTTCGTGTTTACATATTTAAGCTTTCTTTCCCTAAATCTTTCCTGCGAAGGGATTACTCAGAGCAAACACTTTAAATATCACTTTATAAGGGTTATGTATGAAATGACAAGAAAACACCACTTTTAGAGAATTGCAATCTTGCTAAGACCAGAGAAGCAAAGATAGTACGGTACTATAAGGCTCACTTCCTCAGTCAATAGCAGCCCTGAATCATGGCTAAAGAAGCATTTTATACATTTCCAGTGTCTCATCCCACCACATAATCACATCTTATATCAGTACATCATACAATTGTTTGTACATAATATCAAAATAGTACGTAAGAATTATCCATTTGTCTGTCCTACTTTTTCATTCCAAAATCTTGTCCTAATTAGATAAACTGATTGGGAAATCATGACCCTTAACACCTACCAGGCAGGTATTATTAGGGTTTACCAGGCATATGTGTGAATAATAATAATAATCCTAACAACTCTCTCTAAGAAGGTAATCTTTTTAAAGTTAGATTACCTTAAAAACACCCTTGTGGGTCCAAAAACCCATACATATGTTGGCATCGAATTAATAAGAAAAATCTGACTCACTTTGTCAAAAATCTCTCTCCTAAACACTCGCCCATTCCCAAGGGCAAATGTTGCAAATGGACTGTTCATCCCTTAATCACAGGGTCTGCATCAATGTAGGCTCACTGGAATTTGGCAGTGTGTCTAAAGCAAAGTAATAGTTGGTAAGTTCTGCTGGTTTGCGGAGGAAAAATAAAAAAGCTGTCATTAGTTTCAAAAGGGAAGATCTTTGAATTAATTTTATATGACTGTATTGAGTTACTTTAAAGCAGGGGCAATATTTGATATCATGTCAACCTGAGACAGAGTAACAGTCAGGTACATGCGGTATCACAGTCCTGCCATCTCTCATTTATACCCCTCCACCTTTAATCAGATGCTTTCCACAGCTGTGCTGTGACTTTACTGGGAGGGACAGTAGATGGTTAAGGGGTAGTGCTTAGGGGACAGTCATGACGAGTGCTGACACCATTTCACTTCTCCTTAAGGGTCCTTTCCAATATGCAAAATTCTAATAGACCCTTGGTGGTCTCTATCTTTCTCCCTTAGTTGCAGTTCTCTAACAGGTATCTTTGTAAATATTCCCAGCCCTCTTCTTAATGTGGGTCAAAACTTGGGTCCTGGTTCATCCGTTTGTCTCAGGCCGAATTATTTAGAAATTCACTAGATATTGATTTAACTGCAGATATGGAAATAAGAAGATCTTTTCATGTAGTTTTTGCTTGAAAGTCATACTTGAGCTGAAATTAAAATGCTGTATTAATCTAAATGTTTCTGTGTGAGATTATGCCCCTATAAGAAATGAGAAATTTATAAAATGTTCAAAATTCATCCATCATCATCTGACATGCTTATCCTGAGTGGGGTTGCCAGGGGTGCTGGTGCCTATCTCCAGCAGTTAATGCTGCCAGTTCAATGCAGGGCAACACAGAGACAAACAACTATTCACACATACTCACGCCTAAGGAGACTTTAGATAAGTCAGGAGGAAGCCGGAGTACCCAGAGAGAACCCACACATGCTCAGGGAGAATATACAAACTCCATGCATAAAGACCCCAGGCCAGGAATTGAACCCAGAACCTTCTTGCTGCAAACCAGCAGTGCTACCCACTGCGTCACTGAGTGTGTCATTCATATGCAGTAAATTTTCTGTAGTACGCAGATAATTAGTAAAGGTATGAACAAAATCCTCAATGTGTAAAGGGAAATAATCTACAATTTAATATGAAACATTTTACATTTAATTTAAAGCTTTTTTACACATTGTTGCAGGAGGTGCCAAGTCTGAAAGTTTCTATATGAAAAAAACATAAACCAGAAACAACACATTATCTGTGGTCCCCATCTGTATGACTTAAAACAACTTTACTGTGTTTAACATTTGCCCTCATTTAAAAGAGGATTCTTTAAGCCATTGTAGCAGCTGCACAGTTTCTGTTCTCTAGTTGGATACGAATGAGAATAAACACACAGCACTTCTAACTGAGTCATGCGAGCTTTTGAAATCCTCTCTGCTGTAAAAACATGTTCAACGGTTAGTCGACAGCATTCAGTTCAAACTGCCTCTTTTCCCCCATCCCCCACCGCAGACCCTCCAACCTCTATTCAACACGTAATGATGGGTGGAGCCACTGATGTTTTCTGTAGGAAACAAGCTCAAACCAGTTTCTGTTGAGCAGAAGAGAAACTCCCACACTCCTTGTTACTAAGAGCAGAAATGGCACATGGAGGAGTTCAACTAAACCAAGGTAACTTCTCCTGTTCAATCTGTTTGGATTTACTAAAGTATCCTGTGACCATTCCCTGTGGACACAGCTACTGTATGAACTGTATTAACGACTTCTGGAATGGAGAAGATCAGAGGAGGATCTACAGCTGCCCTCAGTGCAGGAAGGAGTTCAGACCGAGGCCTGGACTGGAGAAAAACATCACGTTAGCTGCCTTAATGGAGGATGTGAAAAAGTTAGGACTCCAGGCTGCAGCAGATGATCACTGCTATGCTGGACCTGAAGACGTGGCCTGTGATGTCTGCACTGGGAGGAAGAGGAAAGCTGTTAGATCCTGCTTCACTTGTCCAGCTTCTTACTGTCAGAATCACCTCCAGCCTCACTATGATGTCCCTGGATTAAAGAAACACAAGCTGGTGAATCCTTCCAAGAATCTCCAGGAGAACATCTGCTCTCGTCATGATGAGGTAAAGAAGATCTTCTGTCGTACTGATCAGCAGTGTATCTGTTATCTCTGCACCATGGATGAACATAAAGGGCATGAAACAGTCCCAGCTGCAGCAGAAAGGACTGAGAAGCAGAAGAAGCTCCAGGAGAGACGACAACAAATCCAGCAGAGAATCCAGGAGCAAGAGGAAGATGTGAAGCTGCTTCAACAGGAGGTGAAGGCCATCAACGGCTCTGCTGATAAAGCAGTGGGGAACAGTGAGAAGATCTTCACTTGTTTGATGCGTCAGATCCAGAAAATAAGCTCTGATGTGAAGCAGCGGATCAGATCCCAGCAGAAAACTGAAGTGAGTCGAGTCAAAGAGCTTCAGAAGAAGCTGGAGCAGGAGATCACTGAGCTGAAGAGGAAAGATGCTGAGCTGAAGAAGCTCTCAATCACAGAGGATCACACCCAGTTTCTCCAGAACTACCCCTCACTGTCAGCACTCAGTGAGTCTACACACTCATCCAGGATCAATATTCGTCCTCTGAGATACTTTGAGGATGTCACACCAGCTGCGTTAGAGCTCAGAGAGGAACTAGTGGACGTCCTGAGAGACACATGGACAAACATCTCAGAAGCAGTCACTGAAGTGGACGTTTTACTGTCAGAACCAGTGACAAGAGCTGGATTCTTAAAATATTCACAAAAAATCACTTTGGATCCAGCAACAGCAAACATGAATTTACTACTATCAAAGGAAAACAGACAAGTTAAAAGAACAAACTGTGAACAGTCTTATCCTGATCATACAGACAGATTCACTGATTATAATCAGGTCCTGAGTAAAGAACCTCTGACTGGACGTTGTTACTGGGAGGTGGAGTGGAGAGGAAAGGAGGGAATAGATGTTGCAGTTTCATACAAGAACATCAACAGAACAGGATGGTTAAATCAATGTAAATTTGGATACAATAGCAAATCTTGGTCAATATGCTGTAATGCAAACAGTTACGCATTTTTTCACAAAGGAGTTAAAACTCCAGTATCAGGTCCAGTTTCGTCCAGAATAGGAGTGTATCTGGATCACAGAGCAGGTATTCTGTCTTTCTACAGCGTCTCTAAAACCATGACTCTCCTCCATAGAGTCCAGACCACATTCACTCAGCCTCTATATGCTGGGATTGGGTTTAAAGAATTTAATGAGTCTGAGATGAAAATTCGTAAGAGTCTAGTAGGTGGAGATTCTGTTGAGTTTCTTATACTGAAATAGTCAGTATAAATAGTCAGGATAAACTCCCAGAAACCTCCAGCAGAACCAGGATCTGTGTGAGCGGCTTTCTGCCGGCTAGGGTTCAGGGAGAAAGTAGTAGACGTGCAAAAAATAAATAAATCTTTGTACAAAAATATTCTTTCTGTTCAGTTTTGTTGTGATTCAGATCTAAAGAAAAGCATCGTCTCCTGCTCAGATCCTGCAATTCAGTGAAAAGGTGGAGTCAGAGTAAAAAAAATTGCAAGCCCAGGAGAAAGAGAGGACTGGAGGAGTGTGAGGGAAATTAGCTGTCATTCGGCTGGAGTTTGACGGGGAAGTGCCATTAAATGGCCGCTACTGTAGAAGCACTGATCCATGTCTAGTAATCAATTTGGCTGTATGATCTGATTGAACTGTAAAGTGCCTTAAGATGACATGTGTTGTGAATTAACACTATATAAATAAACTGAATTGAATTGAATTGATTATCACACATTAGGTCATTAACTAAACAAACGCTTTGAAGAGACAGATTTTTATTAAAATCACACTTGATTGTTTTAACTTTTTTTTCAATAGGATTTTTTTCTAAATTTATTTGATTTTGTTCGTGGGCAAGACACTGTCTGGATGGAGTGATGAGTGGGTAACAGAGGGAAACACTCACTCAGAATTGGGAGCAGTTTAAGGGTCTTAATAAAACTAAGGGGTTAAGACCCCTTCATCTGTTTTTTGTAAATTTTCCAAAACTGTTTTCTCAGTAGCCCTGAATCCTGGGAAACCCTTGGCAGAAATAACGTCTGGTGTTACATCGCCACCTATTGGATGTTTGTTTTAACTGCAGTCAGGATCCCATCCCATTATTACTCTTAGCATAGTTGTCATGTCCCTTTTGGTTAATCTTTCTTCATTTCTCAAGATAGGGTTGTTGTTTTTGTTTCTCTTACATCAAGGAAGTTTCCATGTGACAAAATGTAACTGAAGATTTCAGCATTTCTACATTATTTCTGAGATGCCATTTAGTCAATGACAGGACATTATCTATGCTTAGAATTGAGGAGGTTGAGGAGGTCTCTCAGTTCCCCTCACCATCCTCTGCAGGAGTGTATTGTCTGTCATGTTGAGAAGTGTTTTCCTGGTAGGACTACACAATGCTCGAAATGAACAATCCTTTTTTTAATTACATGACCTAATTCAGTAACGACCACGGTAATTTCAGTTAAATCACTGAACAGAAGCTTAAAGTTGTTCTTTAAAATGTTGAAACCAGATTTTGACTTTTTTTTTTATACTTTCACTTTATTTCTGTAGCAGAAAATATATAACTATTTCTTCTTTTTTATGTGATTCCAACACTTCTTCAACTTATTTCGCCTCATTCTTTTTTCGGATGTATTTCATTATGTAACATGATTGTGATGAATTACATACTATTACATCCATTAACATAGCTTTTGTAAAGAATATCTGTAAATAATAAAGGTCTTGCAGTTTAAAAACACTCTGGTAAAAGTTGAAGTATCAATTTGACCTCTTTACTCAAGTAAAAGTGAAAAAAAATTTGCTCCAAAAACTGCTTAAAGTTTAAAAGTATAAAATTAACGTAAAAAAGAAAAAGCCAGATGCCACTATATGAATTGAAGCTCAATTTTTCACCTATTTCAATAGATCATTAGAGATAGGGCCAAGGATGAGGGAGGTCTTGTTGGTCTCCATCTCCCGATACGCCCTCGCCTGTGTCCGACCTTTCAGACATTTCAACATTTTTTTCTGAATCCTACATTGTAGCATGGCGTAGATAATTCACGTTAGCAGTTTGAAGAACATCTGCTTGCTTCTGATGATTTCCTTTAACCAATGAGTGTTTGCGTTAAATGACTCATCCAATCACACTAGTTTTCACTAGATGTGGATGGCGCCAATGATCTGCATTGGATGGAGCACATGATGTGAAATAAATATTTATAAACATTAAACCGAAGCCAAGAGTAACGAGTAACGTTTGTTTTAAAAAAGTAAGGAATAGAAAGTACAGATACTTGTGTGAAAATGTAATGAGTAGAAGTCAGAAGTAAGAGGAAAAATAAGTAATTGAGTAAAGTATAGATACCTAAAAAGTGTACTTAAGTACAGTAACGAAGTATTTGTACTTAAGTCAATTGCATTCTTCCCAGGAAGCATCGCCCTGCTCTAAAGGACTAATGATGCAATATTTTTAGAAGACAAAGTCAATATAAGCAATTTGATTTTATATATAAAGAAAATGGGGAGGAAAGTGAGCAGGATGGGAAAAAGAAAAGGGACTGAAAAATAGAGAGACAGCAAACCATTAGTAATGAAACAATAGATGATTAACTAAAATGAACCATCTCAGCATCCACGTAAACCGATGATCATGATCATTTTCCTGGATTAGAAGAGAGACTAAATTGCAAGAAGGAAAGATTAAAGATGAAGGGAAGATTTAAAAACTGTGTTTACCTTCTGACTTGGAGCCACAGACAGAAAACAACTTCAACATGGAAACAAAGAAATCTCTGAAACATTTTAGTATTCACTTATTTTAATAAAAATCTCTAATGTTAAAAATAAGTATTTAAGCAAACATGTAGTGAAACAAACCTGCAAACCCAGTCTTAAAATAATCAATGGAATCAAAATCCTGCAGTGGTTCTGTTTAAAATGTTGAACAAATCATCTCAGGTTATCAGTCAGCTTCTGATCCTTCATCCATCGTCATTTAAAGAGCTTCAAGTGTTCAAGATGTGAAATTACGGTACTAAAAAAATGTGCAAATAGTTTTGACCATTTTGTTTTCAGTGTCTATGTAAGTGTCTCTAAAAAAAATCACCAATCAATGACCTGATTTTAATAAATTAAATCTACAGTATAATGTAATAATTGAACATCTTCTATAAAAATAAAATATTCCTTCCAAGAACAATTTAAATATCTCCTAAAAAAGCTTCAATCTGATCAACAGATCTGGTTCTGCTAAAAGTTAACCTGAGTTAAACAGATGGACCAGCAACTGCATGAAGACCTTAAATTGAACATGATGCCAGATCAGTTTAATCTAAAATTTAAACTCGACTAACAAATTAACTAATACAATAAAAAGCTCAAGTTCAAAGAAACTAAAACTATGATATTCTTTTCTGCTCTGAAAAGTCTAATCATTCTCCTTCCTCGAGATAAACCCAGAACGTTTGATCATCTGAAGGTTTGGAGGATTCCTGCAGAACCTGACAGCAAACATGGAGAACCTTCAGGAGAAAAGAAAGAGCCCAAAGTCAAACAAAGAGACTGTAATTAGTGCAGGTGAAAACCAAATAAATGATTATTTTTAAAAGCATAAAAATGTAAAATGAGCGAAAGAAATGAAAATAATCTAAGTTTAACTTTAAACATTCTGTTAGCTGATGACATCCAATATAATGAGTCCAACTTCTGAGTCAGACTAACCTGGTTTCATCGATAGACCTCTGACTGATACGAGGACTGATCTCCAGGATTCTGCTGCAGGGTGGGATCTTAATCCTTAGGACGCTGCAGGAGAGACGACTTTGTGTCGCTCCCATCTACATCAATGCAGGTCTGCCCATGAGCAAGGCAGACGATCTTCAAGGCTGAGGCCTGACTCGGGATTTTTCTGAAACCTTTAAAAAGCAAATAAAAGAGTGAACAATTTATTATGTAAAGATGGGAGGAGAGCTGAAGAATATTATAGTCTGACCTTCTTTTAGTTGTTTTTTTCTTATGCGGATGTAAACAATCAGACAAATAATGAAGATGATGATGAAAATGATGAAGAAAACCAAGTGAAAATGGGGTATCAGCCTGGACCAACGACCTACAGTAGAGATAAAGTCAGTGGACAGAAAACCAATACAATTAGGTGATCAGCAGCTGAAATGTTTATGTTTGGAGACCTACCAGCATCAATGGTCTCATCCTTCAGTGTTGGAATAGGGAAGTTTCTCTCATGAACCGTCTCTGTTTTCTTTATTTTAACAAAGTCTGGGACTGAAACAGCAACAGAAACAGGATTTATTAGCAACAAATAAACAAGGAAACAGAACCTGCAGTTTGGAACCATTTACTCGTCAACACCTAGTCATTGAAGACTAACTTATTCAGTCAATATGTTTGGGTTGCAGGTTGCTTGAAATAATGTGAGTCTGTGTCAACATTTAAGCTGGGACCAGACCAAAGGACAGCATCAGACATCAGTGGACATCAGAGAGCTGATACTCAGAGGACGATCAGACTGGAAAACAACAGATAACCTTTCTATTTTAATAATGTTCACACCAATTACTTTATGACATGAGGTCATCCTCTCTGTTCTGAACAGATACTCTGTGGTAAACTGTTTTTATGCAGTTCTTTGTACAATAGATGATGAAGAAAATCTTTCAAAGCCATTGTTATGTATGTTATGCAACTGTTGATCTCACACAGTTATTCTACAGGTTTGATTGTTCGTCAGTCACAGGAAATAACAATGATTAAGTTGGTTCCCAAACATTTCAGCTTTTGACCCCAAAAATAACAAGGCAACAGATTAAAAAACTCCTTAAGATACATATAATTATTCCACTATATAATTAGATTTTCATTCATAAAAATAAAGTAATTTCATTTTTTTATAGAAACATATTTTTCATTGACATTGAATTATTTAAATATGAATTAAATATATTTTAATTGTGTATTTTAAAACTATATTTAATGTTTGATTCATGTGTTAAATAGAAAGTTGTTTTTACAGTTTTAAAGTTTTTTTTACAGTGGGCTAAGCATGACCATCCATTTCTGTGGACATCAGCTTTTAACTGATGCTCCAGCAGCTGGATTTTGATTTGTGTTTTCTGCAGCCTCATTTTTAGGCTTGCCTTTTTGATTAAATGTCAAATTATCTTGCAAAAGAATGTCTGCTTTTGTTTATATTACTTGATGAACTAAGATTGAACTTAAATATTTTGACTTGTATTTGAGTGAGCTTGAGTTTCTCACTATATGTCAGACTGCAGAAGAAAGACAAACTTTAGAAACTGATGCTTTGACCCTTCAAAGGTAAAACTTCAAAGACAAGGAGAGCCTTCTGGATCTTCTAACATAAAGAAAGTTTAACTCTTGAACAGCCTTGATGGCACATTAGTGATTGATATCAAATCTAGTAAATCATTTTTATAAACTCCTGAAGTTCCTGTTCTTTATGTGAGAGAAAACAATGTCGTCTAGAGGTACCTTTTTTACTGTGTTTATTTTTTTAATCGGTTTGTATCAGTCAATGCCATTATTGTATAATCCAACATGCTTTCTGCAATTTCTGATCATTTTAAAGCAGAAGCTTAAAAACCTTTATATGTTTTACAGAGTAAAAAACATTTTATGATTATTCTTATCTCCACACACAAATTGTTTCGTCCTCCTTCTTCTTCTTTTTTTTTTTTTTTTTTACTATTACTATTAAGAACTTCCTGCTTTGAGAAAATCAAGACTGAGGAGCAGACAAGGATATGTGGAACCAACCAAGAGAAAGGTTCAGCAATGTAAGGTTATCAACCTGTGACCAATGAATAGACAGAAGGAAATGAAAAGACAGAAATGATAGGAGTGTCCAGTCCCTATTGGGTGCCCAACATCTGCTGAGTGAACTTACCAGTGACTGTGACGCAGCACTCTGCAAAGCCCTCCCCATAGTCAGTCCTAATGTTACACACATAGAGCCCAGAGTCTCCTGTCGTCAATCTGGAAATATGGAATCTGATCCGTCCTTCTCTGAGGACGTCTTTGTCCATCTGGACTCGCCCTGAAAACTGTTCATCCAGAGACTCTGATACCTCAACACCATCATGAACCTGATAGAGGACTGAGGCTCTGAGAGGAGCCAGTCTACTGCAGATAACATCCAGTTTTGTCCAGGATCCCTGAGGTCTGGTGGTGAAGGTCCACTCCAGAGTGATGTTGTGGTTCTGCTCCACCTGATAGGAGCTCTGTGCCACATTCACTACAAATGTTGGTGCTGAGGAGACAAAAAGGGAAAGTGAGGAGCATATCTAGACGTTTCTGTCTCATGATGGTCTCTGTGCTGTCAGAGCTCTGCTTGATTCTCTTCTAGTCAAACTGCTTATTCAAATGCAGCTAAAGGATCGAAGTGTTACTTTAACTGACAGACTTTCACTGACTATTTATGGATTTAGAACAAAGAGAAAATGGAAACTCACCACAGAGACATGAGCTGATGTTGATGATGAGGAGCAACAGGATCATTTTCTCCCTGAGAGACGAGACAGAGGAGAAGATTCAGCAACACATCAGCTCCAACAGAGACAACATCCACATTCTAACTTCTTTCAGTCTTAAGATTATCTCTGTTAGATAATGTTTCCCACCCCATGCATGAAGCTGTTGCTGCAGAACTGGAGAGCTCCTTTACTGACAGTCTGCTGCACTTTACAGTAAAGTATTTTATAGTTTATCTTTTAACCCTTCACTATTATGTCATTCTTATACATTTTCCTAAGGTCCACATTTGTGTGACCATTTTTTCTATAATATTTTTGCTGCTGTAAACACCAGAATTTCCCCATTGTGGGACGATAAAGGGAATTTATATTCTATTCTGTCTCTGTGTGAACATTATCGTCTGTGCCTCATATCACATTGTGTTTGGAAGAGTTTTGGATGAATGAAACTATGCTCTGTTGACGGGAAAACTGCAGTAAAAAAGTTCTTCTCTATCAGCTTTATAGAAAGCTGTTTTTTTTTCTGATTTCCAAAATGTTTTTAAAGAAGATTAAAAAACTTTGATAATTGTTGTGAGATTTCCAAAAAGTGAAAGTGATTGCTCAGAAATAATCTTAAAGCACTCTTAATCCCACAATGTTTACTCAGACTTTACAGACTTTGCTCCAACCTGCCCACAGTGTCATATATTAATACCAGATGTAAAATAATAGCAAAAAAATGGAACCATTGAATTAACTAAAAGTAAGTTCATGTTTATAGTGCAGATAACCGCTAAGGCTTTGTATGAAACCATACATTAGTGGTTACTCATACGTGTTATAGTTACTAAAACCTTTTTTCTTCTCTTTTAGACTTTGATGAAAAGCACTGCTAAATCATAAAGACTACAAAAATACTTCCTTAATTATCCTTCTATAGGAAAGCTCCCTCTGTTATAGCCCGGAGGCAATAAATAACAAAAGTAACAATTAAAACACAAGTATCACCTAAATCATAAACTTTTAAGTAAACTGAAGAGAGCAGAGTGATGAAGAAATTGCTAAAGAATCTCAAAGAATCCTTCTTTTCAAAATAAACCATTGGAATAAAGAGTAATTTCAAGTAATATAGCCTGGACCTCTCTGCCTACCAGCAGGGGGCGATCACATACCACCAGTAGTTTGTGTAGCCCTGTTTGTGACTGTATGGTCTATTCCAAACTAAAGTTTTGATAGATCAGTCACATATGGTTCTTTGCTGTAAAAAGCTGAAAGCTTGACAAACAGGCTCAACCAGATTGATATTAACTTGTCACTTCCACATTTAATCTGTGACAAAAAGACTAGAAAGAAAACGTAAACTGTTTTCAACATGGTATTCCCCCTGGCTTTTTTACTACAGCCAGTAACTAATATATTAAATAATTATTTAACACACAAGCAAGTTGTTTTTTTACAGTGGGCTAAGCATGACCATCCTGTGGACATCAGCTTTTAACTGATGCTCCAGCAGCTGGATTTTAATTTGAGTTTTCTGCAGCCTCATTTTTAGATTTGATTTTTTTTAATTAAATGTCAAATTATCTTGCAAAAGAATGTCTGCTTTTGTTTGTATTGCTTGATGAACCAAGATTAAACTTACAGATTAAACTTAAATAATTTTTATAAACTCCTGAAGTTCCTGTTCTTTATGTGAGAGAAAATAATGTCATCTAGAGGTACCTTTTCTACTCTGTTTATTTTTTCATTGGTTGGTATCAGTCAATGCCATTATTGTATAATCCAACATGCTTTCTGCAAGTCCTTAATAATTTTAAAGCAGAAGCTTAAAAGCCTTTATATGTTTTACAGATAAAAAATATTTTGTTAGCTCCCCAATTTTAAGATGTTCTTTCAAGAATTTTGAGAAAATCAAGACTGAGGAGCAGACAAAGATATGTGGAACCAACCAAGGGAAAGGTTCAGCAATGTAAGGTTATCAATCTGTGACCAATGAATAGACAGAAGGAAATGAAAAGACAGAAACGATGGCAGTGTCCATTCTCTATCAGGTGCCTCGCTTTGCTGATTTTATGAAAAAATAACCCAACATCTGCTGAGTGAACTCACCAGTGACTGTGATGCTGCACATTAGTCAGTCCTAATGTTTCAGCCAGGAGGCAATAAATAAGAAAATTAACAATTAAAACACATAAATCATAAACTTATACGTAAACCAAAGAGAGTAGAGTGACCAAGAAATTTCTAAAGAATCTCAAAGAATCTTTCAGATAAAAGCTTGTTTTACAAGATAAACCATTGGAATAAAGAGGTCATTTCAAGTAATATAGCCTGGACCTCTCTGCCTACCAGCAGGGGGCGATCACATACCACCAGTAGTTTGTGTAGCCCTGTTTGTAACTGTATGGTCTATTCCAAACTGAAGTTTTGATAGATCAGTCACATATTGTTCTTTGCTGTAAACAGCTGAAAGCTTGACAAACAGGCTCAACCAGATTTATGTTAACTTGTCACTTCCAGATTTAATCTGTGACAGAAAAGACTAGAAGGAAAACTTGACAGAAACTGTTTTCAACTTGGTATTCCCCCTGGCTTTTTTACTACAGCCAGTATCTAATATATTAAATCCAAGTTTGACATTGAACCTCACATTAGTGGGATAAAACTATTCTCTGAGTAAACTGTGATTTTAAGAAAATAATCTGATTTTGTCAAAACAGGTTTCTGGCATGAAACCTGTGAGTTTTCACACAAAAGCATAAAATAAGTACAATCTTCTGATCTCAGATATGACATTGTCTAAAGATAAGCAAATACATGAGCATATATGCATGGTTCTACTAGATGAACAGAGAAAAATAAATAAAATAATCCTGCTGCTCATAGATGTGTAACAATACACTGATCCATACTGATAACATCAAATATTAGATTAGCCATCAGATTGATGCAAAATGACAGCATCCATTTGCATCTAAAACCACATAGCTCAAGACTACAGTGAATAGGTTATTTACTATCTTTTATTATTTTTATATTAATAAGATGTTGTTTCTCAGTTGCTGTTTTTGTTCATGTTTGTTGTTTTGGCAGATAAGAAACAATTAATAGCAATACAAAAATTTGGAATATAGGTTTTAATTATACACAATAACATAGTAAAAATATTTCGCAAAAATAAATATCCTTGACCCCGCTCCGCCCCTCAACAATGAAAGTTTAGCTGTGCCAGTGCCTGTAAGATTTTTCTTTTAGTAAGGCAAGGAATAGAGACTCAATATAAACAAATTTCGACCCACAAAGCCAAGACCTCATGCACGAAACAGTAAAGCACTGATGATGCTCAATAGAAATAGAACAGCATGATCAGATCCAGCAGGACCAAATATTAAATTGCTAATGGCAGCTCTTCATCCCACCATTAACCTCTCCTCGTCCAGCTTGTAATGCTTGCATTTACTGATTAAAAACATGTTCAAGAAAAAAAACACAATTATTGAAACAACACATTTTACAAGAAAATGTTCAAAGGTTGAAATGTTTCTAACTTACACTTCACAAGTTGTCCAAAATGCTGGTGAACTACACAAAATATTACAGAAATACTGCTTCTATCTTCGTCAAACACGACAAGTGTGGATTCCACCTTTGAGTCGGCGTCCCTGAACAGCAACAGGAGTAACTATGATAAAAGAGTAAAGGTGTGTTTTACCTATGGATGCAGCTCCACCCCTTAAAAAAGAAATCTGTTCTATTTGTTAAGTTCAGCAGTATCCAGCCTGAAGGCAGTGTTGTTATGTTACCTGCTAAGCTCCTAGGTAACAGGAAAAAATGCATTAGTCTGACAGGCTGCAGCCAATCAGCATAGAGCAGCAGATGATTAAGAAAGATCTGATAGAGTCTGGTGAATATTGAGGTGTTTCTGGAAAATGGAAGCAAGATTCACGACTTTTCAATTATTCTAAGAAAGTTTAAACTACAGGGCTATTGAAACCCATCTAGTTAAATATGCAACGTACTAATGCTCGGTTATTCTCAATGTTTAAAATACTGCCTGGAGACGAGTTTAAAAGTAGATGCTCTATCTGTTAAAATTATTCCATCTACTCCATATTGAGTCATCATTACTGATAGTTTACGTTGCAAAACCTACTGATATGTTCGAAGGTCTATTCTGTGTATGTCTTTGTCTTCCTGGAGATGATATACATTTTGTAGGATTTACATGTTCAAATGTTTCTGAATCCACCTCGTTTTCATTTGTATAAGAATCTGGTGTCAGTCATTTTGTTTGCATCCGGTTTCCTGTCCAATGGAAATTACCCCAGCATCAACCCGTCTTGCTAATGATCGTCTCTACCGTCTAAGGCAGGGATCCTGGAGGGCTATTAGCAGCTATACACCTCCCCTTAAGTCCAGTGAAAGCTGTTTCTGGCTTTTGTGGATGAAATATTTTGAGTGTGCCTTTCATGAACAGGGAATAAACAAATGACAAACAGACAACGACAACCAATATGATTGGCCCATCGCTAGTGAACGATATAAATGACCCTATGCAGTGGTGAGGTGGTGATAATTAGAAAACCGGAGAGTTAGGCAACTGAGTGAAATGAACAATTAGTGACCTCAGGGCAGATCAGCACATCACCATCACAATAACTAGGACTGGTGAAGGAGCTTGGTCAACTTATACATAGTATACAAACGAAGTATCCTCTAAGCAGATGTAAAGTCGGGCTGTAATACTGCCATACTGGTTGAGTAAATTGGAAGAATTTGTACTTACCGCACCTTTACAGGTGATCAGCATCCTTTAAGTAAACACATGAATTGATGTTATGAGGTTCTACTAAATCGATTTACACTAGTCCATGACCATGAGTCAAACTTTTGACTTGGTTGGTTCCGTTTTGTATTATTATTTTGATTTTCTTTATGTTTTTTTATACATCATTCATTCTGCGTCTTTCAGTTGCTTCTGCTATTCAGTTGCGATTCTGTATTCTCGTCTGATCGTTTCGCTGCGAGTTTGAAGCGGCCGGGATGGGGATCAGTTTCTCCAAATGACAGGCATGGCTTGAGCCTGGAAAGGGTTAGAGTGCCTTTCTCGGGTGTGGGGGGTGTCCTGCCCCAAGTGGAGGAGTTTAAGTATCTTGGGATCTTGTTCACGAATGAGGGAAGAAGGGAGCGGGAGATCGACAGGCGGATTGGTGCAGCGTCTGCCGTGAAGGCGGGCACTGTACCGGTCCGTCGTGGTGAAGAGAGAGCTGAGTCAAAAAGCGAAGCTCTCGATTTACCGGTCGATCTACGTTCCTACCTCTCATCTATGGTCATGAACTCTGGGTCATGACCGAAAGAACGAGATCGCGGATACAAGCGGCCGAAATGGGTTTCCTCCGTAGGGTGGCTGGGCTCTCCCTTAGAGATAGGGTGAGAAGCTCGGTCATCCGGGAGGGACTCGGAGTAGAGCCGCTGCTCCTCCACGTCGAGAGGAGCCAGTTGAGGTGGCTTGGGCATCTGTTTAGGATGCCTCCTGGACGCCTCCCTGGTGAGGTGTTCCGGGCACGTCCCACCGGGGGGAGGCCCCGGGGAAGACCCAGGACACGCTGGAGAGACTATATTTCTCGGCTGGCCTGGGAACGCCTTGGGGTTCCTCCTGAAGAGCTGGAAGAAGTGGCTGGGGAGAGGGAAGTCTGGGCCTCCCTTCTTAAGCTGCTGCCCCCGCGACCCGACCCCGGATAAGCGGAGGAAGATGGATGGATGGATGGATGGCCATCAGATTGATGCAAAATGAAAGCATTGATCGGTCTCCTAAACCTTTAAGAAACTAATTTTTTTCTAAAACCACATGGCTCAAGACTGCAGTGAATAGGTTATTCACTATCTTTTATTATTTTTATATTTATAAGATGCTGTTTCTCAGTTGCTTTTTTTGTTTGTTGATTTTGTTTTGGCAGATAAGAAACAATTAATAGCAATCCAAAAATTTGGAATATGGGTTAATTAAACAAAATAACAGTAAAAATATTCTGCAAAAATAAATATCCTCGACCCCACTCCGCCCCCCAACAATGAAAGTTTAGCTGTAAGATTTTTCTTTTAGTAAGACAATGAATAGAGATTCAATATAAAGACATTTCAACCCTCAAAACCAAGACCTCCTGCAGGAAACAGTAAAGCACTAATGATGCTCAATAGAAATAGAACAGCATGATCAGATCCAGCACGACCAAATATTAAATTGCTAATGGCAGCTCTTCGGCCCACCATTAACCTCTCCTCATCCAGCTTGTAATGCTTGTACTTACTGAGTAAATACATTTTCAAGAAAAAAAACATGATTATTGAAACAACACATTTTACAAGAAAATGTTCAAAGGTTGAAATGTTTCTAACTTACACTTCACAAGTTGTCCAAAATGCTGGTGAACTACACAAAATATTACAGAAATACTGCTTCTATCTTCGTCAAACACGACAAGTGTGGATTCCACCTTTGCGTCGGCGTCCCTGAACAGCAACAGGAGTAACTACGATAAAAGTGTAAAGGTGTGTTTGCCTATGGATGCAGCTCCACCCCTTAGATAAAAATCTCTTCTATTTGTTAAGTTCAGCAGCATCCAGCCTGAAGGCAGTGTTGTTATGTTCCCTGCTAAGCTCCTAGGTAACAGAAAAAATGCATTAGTCTGACAGGCTGCAGCCAATCAGCATAGAGCTGCAGGTGATTAAGAAAGATCTGATGGAGTCTGGTGAATATTGAGGTGTTTCTGGAAAATGGCAGCAAGATTCACGACTTTATCAATTTATGTTAAGAAAGTTTAAACTAACCAGACTATTGAAACCCAGTCTAGTTTAAAATATAGCAAACTATTCTAATTTATCGGTTATTTCAATTGTTTAAGAATTACTCCCTGATGATCTGGAGTTTAAATAGTAGGATGCTCTTATCTGTTTTAAAATTATTTCCATATTCTACCTCCATATTGATGTCATCATTACTGATAGTTTTACAGTTGCAAAACCTTTACTGACTTATTGTTCAGAAGGTTATTCTTTGTTATGTCTTTGTCATTCCCTGGAGATGATATACATTTTATGTAGATTTACATTGTTCAAACTATTTCTGATCATCCACTCAGTTTTTTCATTTTGTATAAGAAATCCTGTGTGTCAGTTTATTTTTGTTTTGCATCCGGTTCCTGACCAATGGAAATTAACCCTCCAGCATCAACCCCTGTCATTGCTAATGATCTGTTCTCTGCCGTCTAAGGCAGAGGGCATCCTGAGGGCATATTAGCAGCTATACACCATCCCTCCTTATGAAGTCCAGGTGAAAGCATGTTTTTCCTCGGCCTATTTGTGAGATGAAATATTTTGAGTGTGCCTTTTCATGAACCAGGGAATAAACAAAAATGACCAAACAGACAAACGGAAAACCAATTATGATTTGGCCCCAGTCGCCTAGACTGAAACGAATATAAATGACCCTATGCAGGTGGATGAGGTGAGTGATAATTAGAAAACCGGGAAGAGTTAGGCACCTGAGTGAAATGAACAATTAAAGTGAGCCATCAGGGCAGATCAGCACATTGACGACCATCACAATAACTAGGACTGGGAAGGAGCTTGGAGTCAAACTTTAATACATAGTCATACAAACAAGGAAGTATCCTCTAAGCAGATGTTAGATAGTGGCTGTAAATAGCTGCCAATACTGGTTGACGTAACATTGGAAAGAATTTGTACTTTAACCGCACCTTTACAGGTTGATCAGCATTCCTTTAAAGCTAAAACACATAGAATTGGAGTTAGAGGTTCTTCTAAATGCTGATTTTAACACCAGTCCATTAACATGAAGTCAAAAAGCTTTTGACTTGGTTTTGGTTTCCCTTTTGTATTGTTAATTTATTATTCTTTTAATTAGTTTTTTTTATACTCATTCAGTTCTTGCCTCTTTCAGTTGCTTCTGCTATTACAGTTGCGATTCATGTAATTTCTTGTTTGTTATTTTTTAGTTTAATTTTTATTATTATAATTCTCATCATTAATATTGCTATTATTCGTAGTAGTAGTGGTAGCAGTAGTAGTTTCCATGGCATCTTTGTTTATTGTCTCTTGTTGGGACCTTCAGTTATTTTTGTGGGATCCAATTCATACATTTATGAAAACATCATGTTTTGTTTCCTACCTGTTTCCTTCTAGCAAGGGTCTCCTACCTTGATCTTCAGGATCTACTGTGCTCATTACCAGGCATTTGACAAATCTAATGGAATACTGAAGATGTAATATGTTGGAACAAGGAATGCATCTCAAATCTGTATAACAGTGCATCTTGAGGATCAGGGTTGGAGACCCCTACTCTAAAAGCTGCAGACTGTTTGCAAACACACCCACACACACACACAACACTGGAACATATGTTGCCCACCACCAAGGCCAGAGAGTATTTTCTGTGTTCTTCAATCACTGCTTCAGTTAAGTGCTGTCGATTTCAGAATTCGTTTGCTGCAAAACAGACTGTAACATTCTCTGAGTAACTCAGAGGTGTTAGACTTGGATCTAAGCCATGAGACCTGACAAAAGACAAACGTAGGCTCCAGGCTAGGCCATCCAGCTACAGATCTAGGCAAAGCTTACCTGAACATTGGAGACCACTCAGCTTTCCATAACTGGATCAGCAGTGGTTACAGATCTGACAAAGTAAACAATTCAGGTCTTTAATGATTCCTGTTCATTTAATGCGTTTTAATGTTGTGTAAAACAAGCCAACAACATTCTAATTGTAGTTGCATTTCCATTACGCAAAACTGTTTAGAGTCTCGCTAATTTAAATAAAAGCGAATGTTCACAATTGGGGTATTTCAATTAAATAAAAAATGCTATTAAAATTGTACAAGAATACATGTTTTAGCCCATGTGAACACTTGAATGAGATGTAGCCATGTTTTAGCAACAACTCTAGTGGTTATTTTACTCATTGTTGGGAAACTATGTCGCCTCATGTATCCAAATATCCCGATCTATCATTCTCTAAATACTTCTGGTCTACATTTTTTTATTTCTAACCAAAGCTTTGCAGAAAATCTTTTTATTAAAAGACTTGATTTTTTCTTTTCAAAATTTCAGTGTTTCCATTTAGCACATTTTTTCGTAATTACAATTTGATAGTTAAAGGAAATGCAGCTTGTGACGACATGGTGATCCACCAATGCTGTTGGTGGATCACCAAACAGAAACAAGTCAAACACATCAATAAAGTTTCTGAAAAAGTCATTAAGTTCATGGAAGTTCATCTAATCTATGATGTAATCAAGTACATGGTCGTTATTAAATATATAATGACTGTGTCATGATTGGTTTAAGGAATCTGACCCACATGCAGAGAAACCACTCAGAGAACACAGAGAAAAGTTTAACAGGTTTATTTGTAGCAAAAAGAACGGAGGTTGGATCTGGAACTCGGAGAACTGGTGAAACGGAACTGGAAAGTCTGAAGGGGAGATCACAGAGATCAGTTCCTGGACTGTGGGAAAGGAGATTGCGGCTTGAATTATGCTGGAATAGGACTCATGTTTGAGGGGGCTCTTGTCAATCCAAGAATCCAGTCTGTGTGGGTTTATCCAGAGACGAGGGAACTCTTTCGAGAGCGGACAGGTAGACATACGTTGGACCTGTAGGAGTAATGGAGCGGACTGTCACTTGGATTTCCGATGGGAACTTTAACAGACCATGTGGATGTTTCCCCCTGCTCAGTGTGTACTCAGTTAATCCTTCCAGGGGGAGAAGGTCCATGTTACACAGTTACACAGGAAGGCTTCCTGCTGAACAGCAAAGACAAAAACAATATAAGACTCAGAGAAACAAAGCTCAAGTGAGACTCAGCTAATCTCAGCTTGGCTAGAGTACCCAAAACTAGCAAACACTCTGGCGTCGAGGTAGTGGCAGCCCACTGCTCAAGTACTCCTCCAGTAACGAACCAACAAGCCGCAGGTGTGCAGGGAGGCCCAACGAGGACAGGGCACCACCTGGTGGTGTAGAGAGAAGGGACACACAAACAACCCACACAAACTGGATTCCTAACAGACTGACGTCCCGATTGATGATGATCATAATAATTAAAGTTTATCTCAGTAACAATAGAGACTAAATGAAATGGAACTAAAATGTATATATTACATATTAAACCATCTGGACCTCAGATCAGTTTGATAAACTCTGCATAGTCACCATCATCATAAAACCCAGCCCCAGCATATAGAGGCTGAGTGAATGTGGTCTGGACTCTATGGAGGAGAGTCATGGTTTCAGAGACGCTGTAGAAAGACAGAATACCTGCTCTGTGATCCAGATACACTCCTATTCTGGAGGAAACTGGACCCGGTACTAGAGTTTTAATGTTGTTGTGGTAAAATTTGCAATTGTTTGTTTCACAGTACAATGACCAAGAGTTTTCATTGAAACCAAACACACATTCCCCCTGCTCTCCTGCTCTGCTGACATTTTTGTATGACACTGCTAAATCAATCTTTTCTCCTCTCCACTCCACCTCCCAGTAACAACGTCCAGTCAGACTCTCTCTGCTCAGAACCTGAAGCCAACCAGTAAATCTGTTTGGATGATCAGGATAAGGCTGTTGTTCTTCCATTACTGTTACTTTTTTGTTCTCCTCAGATAATAGAAGATTTGCGTGTGCTGTGTTTGCATCTAAAGTTATTTCAAGTGAATGTCTTAAAAATCCTGCTCTTGTCTTTGGTTCTGACAGTAAAACATCCACTTCAGTGACTGCTAGTGAGATGTTTGTCTCTGTGTCTCTCAGGATGTCCTGTAGTTTCTCTCTGAGCTCCACCACAGCTGCTGTCACATCCTCAAAGTATCTCAGAGGACGAATATTGATGCTGGATGAGTGTGTAGACTCACTGAGTGCTGACAGTGAGGGGTAGTTCTGGAGAAACTGGGTGTGATCCTCTGTGATTGAGAGCTTCTCCAGCTCAGCATCTTTCCTCTTCAGCTCAGTGATCTCCTGCTCCAGCTTCTTCTGAAGCTCTTTGACTCGACTCACTTCAGTTTGCTGCTGGGATCTGATCTGCTGCTTCACATCAGAGCTTCTTTTCAGGATGAGACGGATCAGATCAGTGAAGATCTTCTCACTGTCCTCCACTGCTTTATCAGCAGAGCCATTGATGGCCTCCACCTCCTGTTGAAGCAGCTTCACATCTTTCTCCTGGTCCTGGATTCTCTGCTGGATTTGTTGTCGTCTCTCCCTGAGCTTCCCCTTCTCATACCTTTGTACTGCAGCTGAGACTGTTTCGTGGCCTTTATGTTCCTCCATTAAGCAGAGATAACAGATACACTGCTGATCAGTACAACAGAAGATCTCCATAATCTTATTATGAGATGAGCAAATGTTCTCTTGGAGCATCTTGGAGGGCTCCAGCAGTTCATGCTTCTGTAATGGTGCAGCATCATAATGAGGTTGGAGGTGATTCTCACAGTAAGAAGCTGAACAGGTGAAACAGGACTTGACAGCTTTCCTCTTCCTCTCAGTGCAGACATCACAGGCCACATCTTCAGGTCCAGCATAGCAGTGATTAACTGGTGCAGCTTGGAGTCCTATCTTCTTTAGATCCTCCAGTAATTCTGCCAACGTGATGTTTTTCTGCAGTACAGGCTTCGGTCTGAAACGTGTCCTGCACTGAGGGCAGCTGTAGATCCGGCTCTCATCCTCTCCCTTCCAGTGTTCTTTAATACAGTTCATACAGTAGCTGTGTCCACAGGGAATAGTCACTGGATCCTTTAGTAAATCCAAACAGATGGAACAGGAGAATTTTTGATCTTCCATCAGAAGTCCTCTCTGCTCCATTTTCCCAGTTACAAAAACTGTAGTTTTTACTTCCGCACAACAGGAACTGATCTAAATACCATGTGTTGCTGCAGTGAATGAGACCAGTAAGCGGATAGATTCACCAGTATACTTCTAGATCTGAGGAGGAGGGAATAAAGGCATGTGCTGACAGGTGCAGTGTAGGAGGAGTTATCAGGCTTTGGTTTCAGGAAGAGGTGTGTCTTCAATGCTGTTACTGGGTTGAAACCAGTGATCTCTATTTATTCACTGTATTGCTGATTGCCCGAAAAAAGTGAAGCTACCGTCCTCCATGCTGGTACTCCCCACTCCCACGGAGAATTGCAGTAAAAATGCCTCCATGTGTAGCATTTAGCTTAAAAAACAAGCAGTTTGCCTGCTGTGGGAAGAGATTTCACAGGTAATTTCACAGTCAGTGTGTGCATACATACTTGTATGTGTAGTTTTTTTCAGATGATCAGATTCTTGTTGGGGCAAAAAGCAAAATATGAACTTGTTGTTGCCTGTTATTTTACCAATATATGTGATTTTGCTTGTGTAGAAACTTAAGCTCTGTGGAGTTAATGAATTGGTTCATTAATTTAGCTCTGTTGTAGCTCTGTCAGTTTTAAAGACTGATGCAAAGATACAGCAGAAAAGTATATAAGGCACCATGCATGCACAATTTGCAAACAGAAAAACCTATAGTACTAACAGACACATTTGTGCAAATATTTTAAATAGAGACTGAATTACAGAAAGTAATTCAGTGTTTATGTAAAATGTTAAATGTTAATAATTTTTTAAAAACTATATGTAGGATGTAATTATAACAATATAATAAATACACGTACATTACATATAACTCATCATTTTAGCACTTTCGGTACATCTGTATTATTATGCTCCATTAGCACATTAATTTTATTGTGATGGATTTGGGAAATATGTTATATTTATAGAGTTCATTGACTTCATAATGACCATGCAATGTGATGAGCCTATTTACTAAGCAATAATTATACGTTACAAAGTCATAATTTCGACTTTCAAAGTCATAATTATGAGATATAAAGTGAATATCACTTTGTATCTCATAATTATGAATTTCTATTTGGCATTTTTTTAGTTACATATGGCGGAAACAGGCTTCCATACATTCAACCTGTAGGTCTTTACATATCATTAAATATCTCAAGCACAGGTAAGTTCAGAGGTTATGGTTAAACAAATAGAATCAGATACTAGAACTTCATCTGTTCGAGCTAATAGAGCTCACGTCTTTCATTGTATCATTAAGATCAGCCTAGTTTAGCATCGGGAGACAGTGCGTCGCTGCTGATGTTAGTAAAGTGGCAATCCTAGAGATGGTATCAATAATTTTCCCTCTACTGGTTAAGAGAAAATTACAGTTTTTCCTTCTGCTTCTTTTTCCTACCTGACATCAACATTGGGCTTTTTATTTTCATAATTGTGTGAGTCATTCTAAAAAGAAATTCTATAGCTAAAGCAAATATTATGATATTTAATCAGAAGTAAAGGAAGTTTTTTTCTAGATTTTAGTTTGTTTTTTAGCAGCAGTACCACTCATCTGACACTAGATGTCATTAGTTTATTGTTTTCAAGGCAGTCACAACATTGACCAATGAATCGCATCTTGTAAACTCATGCAATAATTAAATTTTTCTACACATTAAAAGATCCTCCAATGAGCCTTTAGCCATGTCCAGGTCATTTTTTGTGGAATTTAAAGACAGCCCTGAGAGAGAGTCTTTGTATTATTTATAAATCATTAATGTTTCATTGAATTTTGAAAAAGAAAAGAAAACAAACTGATTATACACTAAACTATTTGTACAAAAAACCTAATTCTTACTTCTCTAAAATTCAGTTTCTGCTGGGAAAAAAAAATTAGGACCTTTATTATAAGTCTCGACTACAAATGTGATTTGACCAGGTAAAATCCTATCTTAGTTATTTACAAATGGAACAACAGAGAAGAGAGTCATCTGATAAATGCTCTTTATACACTACTCAAAAGAGGAACACTTTGTAATCAGAGTATAGCATCAAGTTAATTAAACTTCTGTCATATTGATTTGATCAGGTAAGTAGCGGAGGGGGTTTTTAATCAGTTTCTGCTGCTTTAGTATTAATGAAATTAACAACAGTCGCACTAGAGGGGCAACAACGAGACGACCATCAAAACAGGAATGGTTTTACATGAGGAGGCCACTGACATTTTTTCCTCCTCATCTTTTCTTACTCTTTTTCACCAGTTTTGCATTTGGCTAGGGTCACTGTCACTACTGTTAGCATGAGGCGCTACCTGGACCCTACAGAGGTTGCATAGGCAGTCCAGCTCCTCCAGGATGGCACATCAATACGTGACCATGGAGGAGATTCCAGGAGACAGGCAGTTACTCCAGGAGAGCTGGACAGGGCCGTAGAAGCTCTACCACCCATCAGCAGGAGCGGTATCTGCTCCTTTGTGCAAGGAGGAGCAGGAGGAGCACTGCCAGAGCCCTACAAAATGACCTCCAGCAGGCCACTGGTGTGAATGTCTTTGACCAAACAATCAGAAACAGACTTCATGAGGGTGGCCTGAGGGCCCCATGTCCTCTAGTGCGGCCTGTGCTCACTGCCCGGCACCATTGAGCTCGATTGGCATTTGCCTCAGAACACCGGAATTGGCAAGTCCGCCACTGACACCCTGTGCTTTTCAAAGATGAGAGCAGGTTCACCCCGAGCACATGTGACAGATGTGAAAGGGTCTGGAGAAGCCTTGGAGAACGTTATACTGCCTGTAGCATCATTTAGCATGACCGGTTTGGTTGTCGGTCAGCGATGGTCTGGGGAGGCATATCAATGGAGGGACTCACAGACCTATACAGGCTTAACAACGGCACCCTGACAACCATTAGGTTTCGGCATGAAATTCTTGCACCCATTGTCAGACCCTATGCTGGTGCAGTGGGTCCTGGGTTCTCCTCGTGAACGACAATGCCGGCCTCATGTGGCGAGAGTATGCAGGCAGTTCCTGGAGGATGAAGGAGTTGATACCATTGATTGGCCCCCACGCTCGCCTGACCTAAATCCAATAGAGCACCTCTGGGACATTATGTGTTGATCCATCCGACACCACCAGGTTGCATCTCAGACTGTCCAGGAGCTCAGTGATGCCCTGGTCCAGATCTGGGAGGAGATACCCCAGGACACCATCCCTCGTCTCATTAGGAGCATGCCCCAATGTTGTCAGGCATGCATGCACACATTTGGGGGGCCATACAAATTACTGAATACCATTTTGAGTTGCTGCATTGAAATTTCAGCAAAATGGACTAGGCTGCCTCATCCTTTTTTCACTGTAATTTTTGGGGTGTCTTTGAATTCAGCCCTCTGTTTGTTCATCATTTTCATTTCCATGAAATGATGGTGGTATCCTTTTGTTCATAACACATCACCCAGTCCATATCAGTATAAATAAACAGCATGATTTTTTCCCCCCATTGAGATCTGATGTGGTTTCAAAGTGTTCCTTTAAATTTTTTTAGCAGTGTGTAAACCTATTCATTTAGTCAAGCAACAGTCTTCTCCTTATCCACCTCTCTCTCCTTTGCATCTGTAGCACTGTTTCTTTGTCTCTGAAACATATTCTCCAATGTATTAAAATCTACAGTTCCAGTGGTGTTGAATAGTCACTTCCTGTTCCCTGTTGTCATTGTGACTTGTTGAATCAGGGCTCCAATGATAATGGCTTTTCATGCTTGTTATGCACGGGTTCAACACAGTTGATTAAACTAATCCACAGGAGCTTTTTGAAACCTAATACTATGAGTTTCCAATCTTCAGCTAGATTAATTCAGGGTTGAGGATTTTAGTCTGAGTTGGTTTAAGCTGCTTTGTGAAATGGGCCTCTAGCTGCAAGACGAGAAAGCATGAGAAATTAAAACCATCTCTTCCAAATAATCATTATTGGCAATGGGAGAATTCTAACAAAAAAGGTAGAAAGCTTCAAGGCTTTGCAAGAAAGTTGACAAAAATATTGAGACCATAGCATTACTTGTTTTACTGAAACATGGCTGGAGGGTCAACTATTTGACTGCAGTTTCTCTCTCCTTCTGCCCACATCACACAAATGAAAGATATAAAGACCACCACAAAAGTGGTATGGGGTTTCTGTCTCACAATGGTCTGGGTGCAGTCAGAGTTCTGCTTGATTCTATCTTTGTAAATCTGCTTGATCAAATGCAACTGGGCGAAGTGTTACCTTCATTGTCAGACTTTTCCCTGATTAGCCTACTGATGAAATTAGACTGAACAGGAGAAGATGGACATTGACCACAAGGACATACGTTAGTCACAAGCAACAGGATCCTGGAGATTATCTCCCTTTGAGAAAAGACAGAGGAGAAGAGTCACTAAGATATTAGCCTCTACCACCAGTCTGTTAGTGTGCACCAGAATGTAGCGGTGACTGTGTTTGATAACAGCCAAGGGCTATCGAGCTAGATGCATCCCAGGAGCCTTAACAGGCAACTTACCACATCATAAAGGTAAACCAAGTACTTCTTAAAAACAATGTACACCGCCTGTGAAAATCATTTCTTAATTGTACCTCTCTCACCTTTTATTCCCTTTAGAAGGAGGGCAAAAAAAAAAAAATTAAACATAACAACTCTTTCTGATAAATGGGTTGCTGCAGTAAGTCAACATGCCCACACTTAGACTCAACCCAGTGGCGGGTGATGACAGTATTGCAGGCCTGTTTAGAAAAATCTGGCCCTCACACAACAACATTACTGAATTCCCAAAACATTGAATGTATTGAAAATCACTAAGGGAAACTATTGAGAGCATGGAAATAACTAAGTCAGGTTTAACCAACCGAATCTCCTCATCTTCCCCTCCATGTGTCTCTTCCATTAAACTTAGCTTCTCCTCTAATTTCTCCACCAATGTTGTCTCACCCACTCTTTCAGTGTAGACTCCTCACTGAGTTTAACTCTTGCCTCTTGTCCACAAGTGCCTCGAGGACCAACTATGGACGCCCTGCTCTTGGAAGCATTGCAACTTTTTGTGTTGCATGGTGCTAACCTATTCACAGGATTTACCTG